TCGTACGTTTTCTCGTCCTCGTAATGCACCTTGGGATCTTCTCTGTTGCTCTCTCCGCTATGCCCATATGCCCAGCCTTCCCTATGTGTCTGCTGTTTCTCGCTGTTTGTTGAGCAGGTCTCTAGTTTACTTTAGGATACAACTCTTGTTAATGAGTAATGGATCATATGGTACTCTTAGGCCCTTACCTGGTCTGAGTCCTTCAAGTCAGCACGAGGCCTGCTATCAATATTATACCCTTAGTCTCAACTTGGGTGTAAAATGCTCCGTAACTTAGCCCTTAGCCGGTCTGAGGCCTTATGCGGGCATGACTTGATGCACTTGATAGATTGCACGCTGAGGTCTGACGCAACTTAAGTCTGTACTAAGGTAGCGGTGCTTAATCCCGAAAGGGGGCCCCCATGGATCAAGGATTCCTGTATTACCCATTGTAGGCCTTAATTTGTACTTATATCGACTTAGCGATATCCGCCGTTTTGCTGATGAAGTATCGCAGCTGCAACGTGTTTCAGGTTGCATCTCCAGTATTTCGAATCCGACGAGTGATACGAGACCATCCCGCAAATAAGGCGAGAGTACACCGGTGTGGACCGTGTGGTTGTTGCAAGTCTAAGGTAGCAGGGAAAGAGGAATGGTACGGGAGATGCAAGTACATACCCTAGGCACTGCACGGGGTCCTGCCCATTCACAGGACCTACATCACCCTGTCCTCCTGACCTCGCTTTGACCCAGGACGTAAAGCCAAAGTCTGCTAATGATGCCTGCGCTATATAAACGTCGACATACTCGTGGGACCGTAGATATCGGGCCGACTGAGTAGGTCGAACGTTGACCGTCGACGTTCGACTCGATATCGCACCACCACTGTACACGATGAACTCGCACTTGTTTGGGCAGTCTCGCAAGATTTGGGAGCCACAGAACGGCCATGGGTCTCGACTAAACAGTCTCAGGAACATGATAAACCGGAAACACGGTTTAAACCTAAGTGAGTACGACGTGTGCGCTGTGGGTCCGAACACTTAGGATGATTCGTTCATGTAGAGGACTATCATGACCTCCACAAGTACTCTGTTGAGGACTACATGTTCTGGCAGGATCTCTGGGAGTACTTGGGCATCATCTACTCTGTCCCAGCCACCGCCGTGAGTAACCTGACTGGCCTGACAGTGAATAACATACACTTACATTTCTTAGATAGTCGAACCCGGGCGACTGCCAGAGATCCCTAACTGGTTTCCTGGTGCCCGACTTAATTATGCTGAGAACATACTTTTTCGTAACGATGACGGCATTGCGGTCACCGCGGCGAGGGAGTTCGGACTCGTTGAACACTACTCATTCAGACAGCTTCGCGGACATGTGCGCAGGATGGCCGCTGCTATGAGAGCCCACGGCCTTAGGGTCGGTGATCGAGTTGCTGGTATGTACTTACATGCGGAAGATGGCCTCTGGCTGAGATGTACATATCTAGCCGTTATCACCAACTCCTTCAGCGCTGTAGTCGTCGCTCTGGCGACATCCAGCATTGGCGCAATATACACTAGCACAGCGGCAGACATGGGGACTCAGGTAAGGATATGAGAGTCACCTTGAGTCATCTCGAGCGATAATCTCCGTGTTACTGTGGACATTGTACTCACCTTCTGTCAGGGTATCCTAGATCGCTACCGCCAAATTCAACCCAAATTCCTCTTTTTCGACACGGAAGTGGTATATGCAGGCAAAACCTTCGACCTGTTGACTAAAATATCCGAAGTGGCCAAGGACTTGGTCCCTAGAGGGTTACAGCACGTCATTCTTTTACCTAGTACGAAGACTGGAAAGGAAGTCACTCAGGAGCAAACGGCCAGAGTGTCCAATAGGTACGTTTGGCATCAGTTAAGCGATGTTGGCTCATATGTGACCCACGCACCCAAAGTATAGCGCTTTCGGACTTCCTGAAAGAGGACGACGGTCGGCCCCTCCAATTCGAACAGTTGCCATTTGGTCAACCATTGTACATCTTGTATTCTTCGGGTACAAGTGGTCCCCCGAAATGCATCATACACGGACAGGGTGTGAGTACTCAGATTCCGGCCAGATAGAAGCTCTCTCACACAGCGATGATCAGGGTGTTCTTATGCAAAATAAGAAAGAGATAGCTCTTGTGTATGGATGCACTTTCGATGACTGCTACTTCCAATACACCACAGTAAGTGCTCCGTCTATTAACCGTAGAGCCCGTCGAAGCCCCTTCTTAGACAGGCTGGATGATGTGGCCGTTAATGCTGAGCACCATGGCACTCGGTGGACGAATCCTGGTTTACGACGGATCCCCGTTCCATCCGAGCGTCGAGGCTTTCCTGAAGTTCGTCAGCGACCAGGGGTATGTACGTGATTGCAACAATCCCGGTTTCATGTCTCAACTGCAGTCCAGCGTCACCATCTTTGGTACGAGTCCCCGTTTCCTCACAGAAGTGCAAGCGCGCGGCATACTCCCGTGTAAGCTACTGCTTCTTCGTAGACCCCTCGCCTTGCATGCTGATTTCGTGTCGCGGGCAGCTCAATTAGCATCATTCCCCTCGCTACGTGCCTTAATGTCCACAGGCGCGCCGCTCACCCCGCCGATGTTCGAGTGGGCTCAGGCGGCGTTCCGGAAGGACGTTTTCTTGACTTCTCCCAGCGGGGGAACGGACATCTGCTCGTCCTTCATCACGGGTGTGCCCGCTATGCCAGTTTACGCTGGAGGTAGAAATGTTATTATCATCCTGATATGCGAGGACCACTGAATATGCGGCGCAGAGACGCAAGGAAAGTCCCTCGGCGTGAAGACCCAGATATTCGACCCATCGGGCAATGACATCGAGGCTTCAGGACAGCCGGGGGAGTTGGTGTGCACCCGCCCGCATGTATCCCTGCCCATTGGATTTTGGGGTGACGAAGACGGCAAGAAGCTACGTGCGGCATACTTCGACACGTACCCAGGTTCGTCATCATGCACCGCTGCTTCAGCCCATGATTCACGCACCACGCTACAGGTGTCTGGAGACAAGGTGACTTCATTGTTGCTAACCCTGTTACGAAAGGGTTAATAATCCTGGGTCGAAGGTGAGACCATGAACGATGTCTCGACGTGAAGGCTTTTTACTAAAATGCGTACCTTGGTAGTGATGGCGTACTGAACCCAAGCGGCGTCCGCTTCGGTTCAGCAGAGATTTATACTGTCATGGACCAATTTACGGAAGTCATCGACGACTCGCTGTGCGTTGGCCAACGTCGATCGACGGACAAGGACGAGCGCGTGCTGTTGTTCGTCAAGATGCGCCCTGGCCATCATCTTACCGCAGAACTCGCGGACAAGATACGGGACGCGATCCGCTCGGCTTTGAGTCCGAGACACGTACCTGCATATATATTCGAGACCGCCGCTATTCCAGTGAGTTCGTTTGGGCCTGCCTCGGTTTGTGAGCTGCGCTGACAAGTACTGTCTCAAGTACACGGTCAATAATAAGAAGATTGAGATTGCAGTGAAGCAGATCGTTTCGGGGTTGAACATCAAACCCAGCGGAACTGTCGCCAACCCGGAGTCGTTGGACCTGTACTACAAATATCGAGACATTGAGAACGTTGCCCAACACGATGGTGTCAATCGCGTCAAGGCGAAACTATAAGTATTGCCTGGACAGGGACCAGGAAGGCCTTCGTCGCTGTATAATAGACGCCATGTATATTAGATGTGTACAGATAGAGCAAAGCCGAGAGAACCCTGGATGCTCAAGCCGAACATCATCTAGTCCCTTTTGATCAGCTCCACAGCTGCCTCAGTCCCCGCGATCCTTCCCAGGCGGAACCAGTCGTACTTGCTATACAAGACCCGGCAGCTCACGTCCGAGGCATCGACCCCGTCGTCCAGGAACGGGTACGACAGGAATTCGGTGTAGAATTGCGGGTGGTCGGGAGGAGCATAGAAGATGAGGTTGCGTATGCCACGAATTTTGTATCTCCGGAAGAAATGGAATCGCTCCGAGATGAGCAGAAAAGACTTTTTGCCTGTGAAGAACGCTTGCCGCGCCCGCGAGATGTCTTGGTTCGAGGAGTATCTGCCGATACCAGTGTCAGCATCACGAAAACATCGATGTGAACTCGGGTAAGAACGTACTCTGAAAGGACAGTGAACGAGATATCCTCCCGTTTCCTGAAGTAATTGTGCACGCGGATAAAGTCAAATGAGGAAGGAATGAAGATGACCGTGTTGGCACTCTGCATGGCTGATTTCAGGGTGGCGGGGAGAAGCTACGGAGACGGATTCCGTGAATAACTCCATATCGTGGTTGATGTCCATCAATACTTACTTGCGTGGTGAAATAGGTGAACCGCTTGTCAGGCTCGTCTTTGGGACCAGAGCAATCGAAGCGAACGAAGGTCTGTCAACATCGAAGCATGTATTAGTCGACTTGGGCATCACTAGAAGCACCGATTGTGACTGACGGAATCTATACCCTCGGGCACGACAATCGGAGGCCAGCGGCGCTCGGTTCTGATTCTCCCAGCGACATTCTTCAGCTGGGTGTTATAGACAGCACGGGTCTCAGGCGTCTCGTACGGGGTAAAAAGGATGGTCTGACGGAGATACACCGCACTACGGGGAAGGCGGATGAGTACACAACATTAGGACAGTGCGAAGAGCATACGTACTGGCCATCGAGGTACCAAGGCTTGATACGGGAGAAGTCGGCGTCATGGGACTCTTTCGGGAGTTTATTCAGATGAGACAAGACAAACTGCTTGACACGTTAGCTCTCCGCAGAACCGCCAAGGAGCCATAAGCGTACCTGGACATGCTCCCAGTTCTGCATTGTCAAAGCATCCATTTGGTCCACGATCAAGATCTCGATCGACGATAGAAAATCGCTGCTCCTAAAACATGGAGCCCTCTCAGCAAATACAATCACCGGAGCTGAAGTCTGCCACTCACTTCTCCTTCTCGATCACCATCCTCAACCCCAGCGGGCTAGCCAATATAATATCCGACCCGTAAAACTCCGAATATAACTTCAGATTCCTTCTTGTGATCTTGATCCCCAGCCTAAAGCTGTCATCCACATTGCCCTTGAACGTCTCTACATGGTCGCGCGGGTACGCGCCTGGCTCTGCACTAGCGAGCTTGTCGACGACGCCCTCGGGCAACCCATATTCGCTTGCAAACCGTGAGTACAGGTCGATCTGCCAGTCCGGCTTGGGTGTGTGCGCGGTGAGCGCATTTACCCAGTTCATGCAGGAGTTACGGAAGGGGAGGAGGATGAGGACGGATGGTCGCGTAAAACCTTGGTCCTGGATGTCTTCAGGCGGGGGCTGCCCGGATTTTGAGGCATGAGTCAGGCGTTCGTTGTTCTTCAGGATGCGGCGACGCTTTCTGATGTATGAAGCAATCGATGTTAGATGAAGGGAGCCTGAAGCCGAGGAAATCAACCGTACCGCACGATGTGGTCTAGGACGTGAAGTGTCGTCGCTTCTCTAAGACTGGGTTGCGTTTCTAGGGATGTCCGGGTGATATAGACGTCCTTATGAGTTGACAGCAAGGAGAGGAAGTCGGTTTGCAGCTCTCTACGTTCTGATTATTCTCAGTGTCTTCCATGGCATACCGTAAAACAACCGTCTACCTTTCGGCAGTTTCTCCTGCCGCTTGTCGAACGGACCTCGTAACCTGTCAAGAACCTGAAGCAAAGTAGGTGAGATGCCATCCATGAAGGATCTTCGAACGTACATGCACTCGTCCGATATTCAGACCGCCTCTGTTATCTGGGCCCTCCGGCCCTTCCACGACTGCCGGACCGAGGCTACTAAGCTTCTCCTTCGACGCTCGCCAGGCTCGCCTATCCACAGCTTCTCTTGCATTGTCGGACAAGGCTACAGGTTTACCTCCAAAGTGCTGCTCGTACGGATTCGAACCGTCCTCTTGAACATTGTCATTACTTCCACCACGGATGCTGTAAACACTCATGCTCACCGTCTGCCTCTGGCTCTTCCACAATCATTTGCTCAGCACCGCCGTCTGCGTCGTCTGCGTCCTGGTTCTCGTTCTCTTTCCGGCTCGGGTCCCCTTTGCTATCATCGAATCGTATAGATTTCCTCTTATTCAGCTTGGGCAAAGGCGCTGAATCGTCTTCAATCCATTTCCGTTTGTTAGTGCTTTTCGTAGCGGAAACATTCAGCAATGTTAGTAGCCTCGTCGTCGTAGAGCTTGCTGTGTCCATGTTGACTAGAGTCGAGGTTAAGGTTCAGAGCAGCCTCATCAGACAGAAAATACGACCAAAAAGATCGGGAATGGCTGCACGAGTGGCTGTGAAAAGCACATGGCGAAGCCTAGTGTGGCTACAATGTTTGGTTGAGCTTGGTCACAATTGTGGCTGAGAACCAGACAGCGCCAATTGAAGACCGGATTTGCGGCTATTCCGGCATGGGGGCGTATATACCAAAGGGACCTTCTGTTCGTCGGTAATTACAGCTGCAGAAGTTTACCGGAGGTACCACGCGCATCAACGATAACCGGACTTGTCTTGGTCTGGCTTCATCGTCCCACTGGCAGTGCTATGTACTTCGACCTGTTTCAATCCATGAACTTTTCCTGAACCAATACTCGCTTGCCCATTTGATATTGTCCCTATCACGCAGACTCAGGCTCAGCTCTCAAAAGTAAAAATTACCGTGCTATTTTTCCCGTCCAATACAAGATCGACAGGCGAATGATGGAGTGCCCGAAGAACATGCTAATCTCTGAATCTGTTCATCTTTCTACCGTGGATTCCAGTGGGTCCGGTGTGAGCACTAACAACGTCGCCTGTGAAAGCCAATCGCTGGCCCCCGCTAGCCCATGGGAGAGTTCTCAGCTGCAATACCTATTGCCGCGAAGGTGCCACGTTAATCTGCTGTGACGTCTGGGTGGCCCACGTAGTTAGTCTCATATCTGTTCTTCGGATGGCGAGATATACAGATCAATTCAGTGAATTCTAATGCTACAGATAACAAGACCATCGGATACCGCCCACAAGTGTTGCTAAGCCTTGCTCCGGAAAGACGCGAAGTATTGGTTGATATGGTTGACCTTATTGAGAGGGGCGACCATGCCGACGAACTGGTCGGGACGAACGATCACCATCGCACCGTGGCTGTCGATACCATAGGTTTGATAGGCGTTGCCACCCGTCCTGCCAGAGAAATCGACGTCGTCGACGAACACCCTATAAGGGGCAAGTCATCAGTGGATAGTTGAACCCATGCACTACAGATTGCTCGCGTACTTTGACCAGTGCGGCCGAAGGAGTTCGGGCACATCCGTATAGTCAACGACCATCTTACTACCTGCCATAACGCTGATAATGTCGAAGACCGACTCAGTCGAGGCTCCTTTCGGCGGGTATGTCTTCAGGAAGCTATCGGGCTTGTCCAGCTCCTGCGCAAGGATATTGACCTTCTCCTTCTGCACGTCGTCCGACAGGTCCCCGGTGAAGACCACTACCTTGAACCGAGTGTCTGCGGGAAGCATATCCTGCATATCGAACGGCCAGGCGTCGGCGACGCGGATGATGGTCTGGGGAACCATGCGTTGGCCGATGACGAGGTTGCGAGTGGTTGACTGGTGTACGACATTCACGACGGCGGACTCGGGATAGTGGACGCCGATGCCGCTACTGAAGTTGCCAAAGGTCTTCCATGCACTACAGGGTTAATCAGAGTCCACACCGTCAACAAGGGAAACGCAAAGCAGCCTCTTACTTCACAAATTCTTCATGGGACACACCGTCCTCGCTATCCTCCGTCCTGGGCTTGCCAGAGAACAGAGTTGCGAATTTACGGTCGAAATTAATGAGGTCTTGTGCAAACTTGCGCCGCTCGATCTCATACTGGAAACCACCGTGTCAGTCTATGACCCCGCGACAGTGTACGACTCTGCTCACGGTCGAGAGTAATGACTGGTCAGCCCAACCGCGGAGGACGTGTGCGATTTTCCATGCTACACCGAGAACCGTGAGTAGAGAGTTAAAGAAGCGGTACAAAGCGCTCACCGAGGTTGTGCGAATCCTGCATACTGGCATTCATGCCCTGGCCTGCTTTCGGTGAATGGGTATGACAGGCATCCCCAGCGATGAATACTCGGTCATTGACGGAGAATTGAGAGGCCACCCGCTGGCCGACTGATGTCATAGGAGATCAGTCGCCGCGCTCAATTCTACCGCTTTTAACAACTCACTGATGTACAGAGTCCACCACTCAATCTCTCCGGCAGGCTTGACGTAGTAAGGTTTGAAGGACCTATTCGCAACCTACGACAAAGATAAGTACGACTTAGACCTCAGAAGGATTACAGACTGACGTCCAACAGGATGTCGGCGTTGCAGAACTTGATATCCGGTCGCCCGGTTTCGGGGTTAGTCACCCGCTTGATATCCTCGTCGGTAAGTTGGATGTAAATCCGGATAATATCCCTCTCCCTGGGAATAACCATGCAAGAACCGTTATTGGAATGAATAGCTGTTCTGTTACGGATGTCCGGAAAGTCGGTGTCAGGGACCATATCCACGACGCCCCAAACATAATCTATACATGAGCATTGTAAGTAGCGTGTCGCTGACTGGTAACGTTGAAGCAGCATACTTGTTATGTCACCCTCCATGGCAATTCCAAACCTTCGTCGGGTCCATGAATGAGCGCCTAGCGGTGTGGTCAATCACGGCACCCCAGTATTTTGGAGCGAATGTAACTTTACCATCAGCACCAAGCACGTACTTCGCATGTACGACTTCTTGCTCATTTGGAGTAGCAGATGTTTCTCGATGCTCTAGTACAGTCTGCAATGAGAGCGATAGGGATGTCAACAACCTTGCAAAGGTAATAAATTTTGGCAAGACGCACAGTAACAGCGTACGCATGTGGGTCTCGCAACACCGCTTGATCCTCGGAAATGTCTATTGAAGATGGGGCTATTGACCTGTCCACATGGACACCCATGGAATCTAAGGCGTCTAGAAACATGTCCTCTATTGCACCCTGGTGCACAGTCATCTATAAATAATCAATTTTAGCCGCACACACTGATAGGCAGTCTATAGACTATCTTGCCTCGAACGGGTAGCGGGCCGTGGGTGCTGTGACATCTGGCGCACGGCCTGAGCGCTAAGGTGAACCGTCATTACGGGTCACTTGGATGGCGAAGAGCTGCTCAGAGTGTATACCTCAATCCCACCGCTAGGTCCCGGATTGTAAAATGCCTTGCGTTCGAACGTTAGTGATTACTGTAAATCTTTCGTGCAACTACGAGAACATACCGCCATATGCACTTGTATACCTTCCCGAAGCATACGTTCTCCCATACCATAACTCTACGCCAATCATCATCGTCTGGACTGGAAATTGTCCGCTTCCCAACTTACATTGAACACCTCGATCGTTCTGGGCTGTATACCGTCGGCATGACCAACGAAGACTTTATTCTGCCTTCAAGTCAATGAAGAGCTCATCAGCGTATCTCCTATGACTGCACCATCGCCTACGTACCTCTTGTCAACAATGCGGACCTTGATACCAGCTCTAGCTAATGCTTGAGCGCACATCAAGCCTGCCGGGCCTGCGCCGATGATGAGAACATCAGTATACGAGTCCTTCATTTTCGTGATCCTTGAGCTGCGGGTATGTGGAAGGCAATAGACAAGACGATGGACAGAGAGAGGGGATCATATCTCGGGGCTTGCACCTAATCAGATATAGCCTACCCCGTGGTATCGCCTGTGAGTCCAATTCCACAAATGATGATCATTCGCCAAGAGAAGCGGATTCAATCGAGGACTTATGTCGACACCAGTCTACAGAAGTGCGTGGACCATGCCTTCGGTAGCTCGGATTGTCGGAGAATGTGAACGGATGAGGCGCCTAAGCTTAGCCCGTTTTGCATAGCTCATGTGGGATCGGGAGATTGGCTCTCACGTACGCCTGAGAGGGTATTTGGAATCCAGAATGAAGACGTAGAGGTTCCCAGTGGAGGGTCCTAGTCCACATGAAGTCTGGAGCAACCTGCAGTAGTGGTCCTGAAGGGCGGACGTGCGAGTAAGAGAGCTGGGAATAGAAGCTGCGCCCATGATGGGTAGAACCTCCGAGACGTTATCACTTTGACCGAGGGAGTAGAGGAAAGACGACACTGCGGTGCTGGGCATGCAATCAGGATAGTGCTATCAAATGCCGGTGCTCTGTGAACCCTCGTGAATACCGCCTAACCCCATGAGCTTGTATAACATGGACATTAGCTCACCGCAAGGAGCAAGAGGAGTGTACAGCAGATTCAGATAGTCTCACTATGGGCTCCCACGAAGTGGATGACCCTGGATAAATACAGGTTAGACTTAGCCTGCTTGGAGAAACTGTATGGGAACGGTGAACATGAACGTAGCAGGTGTTCCACAGGTGGACTCTGATGGCGCCTGTCGTAGCTTCTTCGGCGTTTGTTTAACGGGGTGCGAGGGCCTCGGGTGAAATCAGATGATGCTGCCTTGCTGGGAAATAGGCCAACACCCTCATCTACTGCCACCTAGAAAAAGGAGCACCCCGTCGCGCTTCAACGAACCAAGATCGTACGTACCCAAGGACGTAAGGACCTAACTTACGAAAGTGAAGGCACTAACCTGGTTCGGAGTTTACAGGTTCACCTATTGAAATGGAGACTGCCATTTACTGCGGAAATCCAGTGCAGGCTAGATAATCAGCGGCGTAACCGCAGCCTACTTCCACAAACCCGGCAGAAGGGTGACGTTCCTTGTGATTTAAGAGGCGCGATATCGCAATTTGAGCAGGAGACGGACGACGAATACCGCTGTACATCTAGCAGCCTTCGTGTCCCATAATGGTCGGACAGTGCGAGGAGATCATTTGGGCGAAGCCAACCGCCTGAGGAAAGCATTGCCTTCTTTGGGCAAAGCACGGAGAACATGAGAATCCTCATGGGAAGGAGCCTCTGGTGCAGGCTCCTAGAACCATCCGTCTCCGCGTCCTCGATCCTCTCTGCTAGGGCGTATGTGAAGATGTTATGTAATAGGGCTTATATAATGCAACTTATTTATAGATGTGTTTCCTAATTAAGATGACTAGTGAGGATGAGGACGCTCTGAGACGGCTGGCCCAACTCGTCGTCCGAGGTTTTACCGGAATTATGTAAGGCAGCTAAGCGACTAACGACGCGTCGGTTTACTGCCGGTTTATCGACGTTCGTCGACTGCCCAATTCGGATTTTCGAAGTGACTTTCTCGTCGCACCTCAACTGCCTTTGTCCTCTGCTCGCACGCGCGTCGATGGCGGAGCATATGAATTCAGCATTAAATAGAAAGGCACTGTCTGGTGTAGTAATAATACATAAGGAGTCTAAGGATCTTTTGCTTTGTATTCTCGATGGATAGATTATTTTGAATACATTGGTAAAGGGCAAGCACCAGGCTCTTCAATGCAAAGTAGCCTGACACCTTATGACATGAGATATTATGTTCAATCTCATTTGATTTCGCTAAAGAGATGGAGACAGTAGCTTCTTGAATCTTGTAGTAAATAATTGTTCACTATTTTCTTTATTTATATGGGGGAGACTCGGCGGAAGTGCATGCAATCCACAACGCAGATATAATACATTGTTTTGTTATTAACAGCTTTATTGCCGTCCACGCGCGTGCGAGCAGAGGACAAAGGCAGTTGAGGTGCGACGAGAAAGTCACTTCGAAAATCCGAATTGGGCAGTCGACGAACGTCGATAAACCGGCAGTAAACCGACGCGTCGTTAGTCGCTTAGCTGCCTTACATAATTCCGGTAAAACCTCGGACGACGAGTTGGGCCAGCCGTCTCAGAGCGTCCTCATCCTCACTAGTCATCTTAATTAGGAAACACATCTATAAATAAGTTGCATTATATAAGCCCTATTACATAACATCTTCACATACGCCCTAGCAGAGAGGATCGAGGACGCGGAGACGGATGGTTCTAGGAGCCTGCCTCTGGTGCCTTTTCGGACTTGCACTTCGACCACGCCCGACCGACGGTGACCTCTACCGAATCTGATACGCTTAGGTCGATAAACATCAAACACAGAGTCCAGATTTGCATCCACCCCGAATGAACCGTCCCCATATTATTCTGCACAGTACATAATGAACGAGGATCAGATCAAGACGCTGCAAGCATGGAGGGATCGCTTGGCTCAGATGCCCAAGGGAAAGCTGGAGGTGCGGACCATGACGGGCAAAACCCCCGCCCTGGCGTGCGCGATAGATCAGAGATTCTCGTTCACAGCCTACATACCGAAATGTCACAAGTTTGACGGGCCCGAGCTTCCGCTCCTCGTCTGCGCACACGGTATCGCACGCCAGACGCACCTGAACACCATGATCGATTTTGCCGAAGAGCAGGGCTGCGTGGTACTCGCACCGCTCTTTCCGTGTGGGATCGAGGACCTCACCGGTAAATCCGACTCTCCTGTCAATCCAGCGTAGACCCTGAATGCGAACAGATATTCACAACTACAAGACCTTGGTCTTCCATGATATCCGTTTCGATTTGATCCTGCTATCCATGATCCAACAAGCGTCGTGCATCTGGAGGATCCGGGCGGATAAATTCTTCCTGCACGGCTTCAGCGCGGGGGGTCAGTTCTGTCACCGATTCTTTTACCTTCATCCCCACCTTCTCTTGGGTATCTCAATCGGAGCTCCTGGGGGAATCACACTTCCACGCAAAGATCGACCCTGGCCTGGCGGGATTTCGGATATCCACGAAGTGTTCAAGATTAAGGGCGACTCCGAGGGACAGGCCGTCCCAAACTTCGGGGAGATGGCGAAAGTGCCGGTGCACTTTGTTGTCGGTGAGAAAGACGTCGATACGTCGGGAATAGGGGACAGCTTGGGCCCCGACGTCCCGGGAGGAGGGACCCGGATCAATAGGATCACGGCCCTGCGAGACGCCTGGAAAGAGATGGGCATCGAAGGGGTTCTCGACATAGTCCCCGGAGTCGGGCATGAGGGAGGGAAAATTGCGCCCCAAGTGCAGCAGTTCCTGAGGCCCTTGTTCCGAAACCTACACAGCTAGTATACTCGCGGTTCTGATAGCGCCTTCCAGTCATCTGGAGAAATTAAGATATCGTCTACAGACATGAAGAGATACCTATCGAAGTCAGCGCACGACGTAGACCTCACGACATATATTGTCGTGGTCGTGTCACCGTCTATGACCAGCTATCTGACTGACTTCAGCGTTCGCTTTTGCTTGCGAAAAAAATGACTCGTCCTGCCAAAGTCCTAATAGCGAGTGCCAGCGCTGTGCATGCTAGCGGGTACTTGGGGTGAGGGGACTGAGAAGAATCAGACTGAGCGGTCAGACCTCCGGATCCGCGACATTTGTGCAGTATATTGATCACGTGACTCTGTACGCGTCGCGTCACGGCTCAGTTACAGTGCGTTGAATTGGCCCTACGCGTTTGGTCCTTTCTTGTGTGATATCCCGTCCAGCAACAGCCTGTACTTCGGCCTTCGCAAACCCATTGAAGCTTGCGGGTTCTTGGTGCAAGGAAGATGCGAGTCCTTTGCGTCGCCGAGAAACCTTCAATAGCACGCTCTATAAGTGAAATCCTGTCAGGCGGAAGGTTTACCACAGTGCGCAACATATTAACTGCTACGAAGATGCTTCTTACTTATGGTGATCAGAGGCCTAGTCCGAACAAGTACATCAAGAATTTCGACTTTGACTACCCTCAGGCGCGAGCACATTTCACGGTTACCTCCGTTTCCGGCCATCTTCTCGCCCATGACTTCCACGACACCCACCGGAAGTGGAACTCCTGCGATCCGTTCGAACTATTCGATGCGCCAATACAGGCCAAAGTGCCCGATGACAAGAAGTCGATCGAGAGGAACCTCATGACTGAGGCAAGGGGCGCACAGATGCTCATGATCTGGACGGACTGCGATAGAGAAGGAGAGAATATAGGAGCGGAAATTGCTCGAGTTTGCAGGAGCGCTAATCGAAATATAACGGTAAAGAGGGCGAGGTTTAGCGCCATCATCGCACAGTGAGTCCGGTTCCCGACTGTCTTGGTTCACCGGATAATCTTCAAGACAGGCAGATACATAATGCAGCTCAACACCCGGCCGAACTTGACATGGCGCAAGCAGAAGCGGTAGATGCCCGCACTGTTCTCGACTTGCGAATTGGCGCAGCGTTCACGAGAATGCAGACACTGGCTCTTCAGGCAAGATTCGGGGATGCATTAAGCGAGGGTGTCCAGTCATACGGTAACCCCACGCCACTCCATGCCAGAAGCCGGCGAACTGAGCATTATTTCAGGCCCTTGTCAGTTCCCGACTTTGGGCTTCGTCGTTGCACGGTATAACCAGGTCCAGGCTTTCGTACCCGAGATGTTCTGGTATATCTACTTGAGCTTGGTCTCTCCTCCAACTGGTACGTCGGGAGGGAATAGAGAGACCGTCTTCACGTGGAAACGAGGACATCTATTCGAAGTCGAGGTCGTTCTCGCACTATACGAGGGTGTCCTCGAGAATCCAATGGCTCGGATCAGGAAGGTCACGAAGAAGGAGACCAAGAAATGGTCTGCCCATTTGTCGTTTATGGCATCGCATTGCTGACGGTACCTCACGAGCTAGGAAGCCGCTGCCGTTGACGACAGTAGAACTTCAGAAAGCCGGATCGAGGCTGCTGAAATTAGCTCCCAAGAAAGTTCTGGACGTACGGCCCATCACTTACACTTGCTACCAAATGCGCTGAGCCCTCTATGTGTAGATTGCAGAGAGACTGTACCAGCAAGGGTTCCTCTCCTATCCACGTACTGAGACGGATCAATACGATCCTCAATTCGACTTCATGTCCCTCATACAGAAGCAGATAGCTGACAACGCTTGGGGCAACTTTGCAAATTCGTGAGTGCGCTTCCATCCCAGCATACCTATGCAATCATTAAAGAACCTTTGTTTCCTACGTCTGTTCGGCCTAGCCTTCAACAGGGCGGCTTCAATCCTCCGAGGAGGGGCAAGAACAATGACAAAGCACATCCTCCGATTCACCCTACTGCTCACGCGGGGAACCTCGTAGGGGACGAAAGGAAGGTATATGAATTCATCACCCGTCGCTTCCTGGCCTGTTGCTCCAAGGACGCTCTCGGCTCGGAGACTACCGTAGATGTGGTCTGCGGGGGAGAGGAATTTTCTGCCACAGGTGCGTCAGTTCGCCGTATTGCTGAATCCGAAATTGATACATGTTCGAGAATAGGCTTGATCGTTCTGGAGCGCAATTACCTCGAGGTTTATCCATACGACAAGTGGAACAGCAAGGAGATACCGGATTTCGTGGAAGGTCAGGAGATCATGCCGTCGATTTGCGAAATGCGAGAAGGTGAGACAACCAGGCCGTCCCTCCTCACGGAAGCGGATCTGGTTACGTTGATGGATAAGAACGGCATCGGTAAGTCTGGCCGACATGTGGCATTATCATGGGTAATTGAGGCTATAGTTTGTATTCCCGTGACAGGCACGGATGCGACAATTGCCCAGCATATTCAGACGATCATCGACCGTGACTATGTGATAGAGCGGATGGAAGGATCAACGAAGTATCTCGTACCATCTACCCTCGGAATCGGCCTGATAGACGGGTACAATGACATTGGCTTCGAGCGAAGTCTCAGCAAACCTCAACTCCGACGTGAGGCAGGTGCAATGTCAAGTATATGAATTGATTATATGCTTATTTGTACACGGACCATTCAAGACTGAACGCAGCATGGTCCAAGTCTGTGAACGCACGAAAACCAAGAACGACATGTTGGTCGAAAGTATCGAGCAGTACAAGGATATGTTTATCAAGGCCAAGAGGGAATTTGACAAGGTCATCGAAGTACGTCCTACTTTGGTATTCCCGCCCGATCGTGTTGACGGACAATATTAGAGCGTCCGCGCTCGACTGCAAGGGAATGGCAACGGTCATGCTGGAGTACAGGGTGCAGGGCCTGGAGCTGGTGGCGGTGGCGGCGGCGGCGGCGGCGGCGGCGGAAACAATGGGGATGGTTCTGGCGGTGGGCCCAACGGTCGTGGCCGCGGTGCAGCCAGGGGGAGGGGATCATCATCTGGTCCTCGAAATTCACGTCGTGGCCGCGGTGGTGGCGCAAACGCAAGGCGCAATGCAGGTCCTCCGCCTGACAGTGATCCGGATGATGATGGTTTGGCGAATCTTCGTTCTTGCGGGCTTGCGCTGACAACTACATCCCTTCCTAGATGGCCCTCGGCACCTCCCACCTCCGAGGATAGCACGACCCCCTGTACAGCCACAAGCATCAGGGTCTGGGTCAGTTTCATCTGCACCAGCAGTAGTGCAATGCAACTGCAATGTACCCGCTGTGGAGCGCACTACCAGAGGGAGACGACACTGGGCATGTGAACTGGATGACGGATGTGGCTTTTTCGAATGGATAGAGAACCCATCTTCGCAGCCAATGGCGGCAGCAGATCGCAGACCAATCTCGAAGACTGTCCCGGCAAAGAGATCGCTGTCTGTACAATCTGTGAGCAATGTGAATTTCACTGGAATGTCAACTAATCCGGTTTCGTAGGACTCCGCGCATAATAGCGCTTCGTCCAAACGGTGCCGGTGTGATTTGACTGCCGTGCTCAGAACAGCCGGAGAGGGAAAAGCCAATCAAGGGAGACAATTCTGGTGTTGCCCGAACTCGCAAAAGGCGGATTGTAAATTTTTCGAATGGGCGGATGCAGACGCCAGCGATAGTCGTCCAAATGGTCCAAATGGGTCCGCGGGTCAAGGCTCGGACACTTGCTTCAAGGTATCGGTCACGTTTCATGCCTATAGCGACGTATTTTTTGACCCTTAGAGTGCTATAGTGCGGCCAGCCGGGTCATTGGTCCAGTGGTAAGCCCTATCACGAGCAAAGGTCTAGCTTGCTCATTCATTCGTCTCACAGCTTGCACAAGCAATCAGCCAATACAGTCCCGGAGTTTCAGCTCCCGCAGTGATAACAGCGCCAAGACAGGGTCATGTTACAAATGTGGGGAGGAAGGTCATTATAGCAGTGGTAAGTGGCCTCTCCGCAGTCTGACCATGACTAACGCGCAATTCTTTCCTCAGCTTGCCCACAAGGTGCAAGTGGCCAGGCGGCGACGAACGCGGGAGGATCTTCGAGTGGTACCTGCTACAAGTGTGGGGAACCAGGACATTACGCTAATGGTAGGGATTCGTCAGCATACTCATAATGTGCATAAGCTCAGTTTCCGACCAGCCTGTCCCAATTCCGATCGTCCAAACAAGCGGGCTACCGTAGGTTCGAGAGGTGCGAAAAGGGGTCGAGGGAGTCGTGGTGGGTCGACGAGGGGGTCGAGCAGAGGGTCGAGCCGACGAGGTAGAAAGAAATCGAACTTCAATGCTGCCGATGAGTTCTAGCAATTCATGTATTTTCTCCGCACTTTCGAGCCACTTCACTCGTAAGTTGTCATCCAGGTGCGTTTCAATGAGGACCATGTAGCTGGAATGTTCTGCCACGCATCGCGGGAGGAAGGGAGCGCGTCAATTTTCGGATCTTCTAAGGGAGGCGTCTATACCGTACGCGGTTATGACAGGTCGCCTAGGCAGGGCTCCGACGTCGGGTCGAGTCGCTTGCTTGCCAATAATGGTTAGTCCTTCGGGTCCATCACGCCATCATCGAGATTTCATTGACTTCCCCGCATCATGCTCTCTGGGGTTGCGGTTCCGAGACAGAGAACAAGATTCAAAGTGCCTGTCAGTGTCCAGAAAGCTGACATCCTCCTTGCATCCTCCTACTGCTTTGCCGGTGTTCAGCTCCCAGAAGATGTCTCGTTCAGAGTCAATCATATCGAAGGAAAGGACCTCACTGCGTGAAGATGCGGCTGCAGATTCGAAGGAAGGGCCGCTGACGCCTTTCAGTCGAGAAGACGATAAGCGTTTGCTCAGGAAGCTGGATTGGCATCTGCTACCATTCGTGTCCCTTCTCTACCTCTTATCCTTCCTGTGCGTCCAACCATCTGCTTCCTCCCCCTTAATAACATCCTAACATTGAGCATTGGCACTAAATATCAGGGACCGGAGCAACATAGGTACGTAGTATCCGGAACCACAAGTTAACACTGAGCCCATAGAGCTCCATTCTAGGCAATGCGAAGGTGGCCGGTATGGCCCACGACCTCAACCTCGTCGGGCTCAAATACAACTTGGCCGCAGCTTTGTTTTTTGTGAGTGAATCATCATGTCGTGTCGCCCTTCGTTTAAAAATATGCTTCGTAGATCCCGTATTGTCTCGCAGAAGTTCCTTCGTACGCCGCCGGTCTACTCTGTCTAATATATTGCCATGACTGAGAACCTATCAGGAATATTGCTCTCAAGCTGCTCAGGCCGTCAATATGGAGTGAGTATCAGCTTAGTGATACTTGTTAAGACCCTTCCTGAAAACCGCCCAGTACCTTCCATAACGGTTGCGTGGGGGCTTGTCATGACTCTTATGTGCTTGGTTAATAGTTACGCCGGTCTCTTAGTGTACGTACACCATCTCCCATGAGGACTTTGCTGACTCTAAACGTTAGTGCGCGACTATTCCTGGGTCTCGCTGAGGGTGGCTTGTTTCCCGGAGTAACCTATTACTTGTCTCTGTGGTATCCGCGCGCGAACCAGCCATCCCGCGTTGCCATCTTCTTCTCGGCAGCCACTGTCGCTGGTAAGTCCGCGAAATAGAATCGAACAAGAAAATACCATGATGGATACCATTAAATCATACTGACAGGTGCTTTTGGAGGTATATTGGCGTATGTATCTTCTTGATCGTATTATCTTCGGAGTGGTTTCTGATTAAATCAGATTCGGCATCGAGAAGATGGAAGGGTACGTCCTTTTTTCCTTTCCCGCTGTACAAGGGTCCAACTGAGGATTCTGTTAGCATTGCCGGCTTGCACGGCTGGCAGTGGATAGTAAGTACAGTGAACCTTTGATTTGACTTCCAGCCATTGACCTGCTCGAAGTTCTGCTTGGAAGGGATCTGTAATGCGATTTCTTTGACGGGATGATCTCTGGAGCTGACATTAGCGTGTTAGTGACGGTCGTCGCAGCGGTCTTGGCGTATTTCTACATGCATGACGTGCGTCCATACTTTGTCTGCCTTTGGAATCGAAAGTAACGATCTTCTCAGTATCCCGAGACTGCTCGTTTCTTGACACCTGCAGAACGGGACCGCGTAATCCACATGCTCAAGGAAGGACAAGATTTTGCGACCCACTTCGAGTGGAGGTTCGTCTGGGATGCCTTGCGGGACTACAAGACTTATGTGCAAATCGGCATCTACATGGGGTGCGTCGGAGCGTCTCACATGTACAGCGTTCGCTATTGAAATTTCTGGCGTAGCCTACTCATCCCAGTCTATGCTATTTCGCTTTTTACGCCCACCATAGTCAACAATTTGGGCTATACCGCTGCGCATGCGCAGCTACTCACCGTGCCACCATTTGTGGCGGGATGCATCGTCACTATCGTAGTCGGATTCCTCTCTGACAGATACAAGCTTCGGGGACCATTCATCATCTGTGGCGCCTTCGTGTCGCTCATCGGCTATATTGTCCTCTACACGCAGACAGCTCCTGGTAAAGCGTACGTCGGTGCCATTCTGGCAGCCGTCGGGGTCTTCCCGACAATAGCGGTTGACCTTGCTTGGGCTGGCGGTAATGCTGGAGGCGACGTGAAACGAGGTGTCGTCATCGCGATGGTGATTGGTATTGGGAACCTCGGCGGGTATGTGGGCTTCTACAAGTCTGGCGTCCTGCCTCTGAATATCTTTCTAGTATCTGCTCATCCTTCATATACTATAATCCCCCCAGATTCCATGTAGGGCATGGAACCATCATGGGTTGGCTGAGCCTCTCGTGAGTGCATGTCTTCTAAACCTTTCACCTTACCCCTTACCGCAACCCTTAGGATTCTCCTGAGTACCTTTGCAATGTTCGACTATTATAGGCTCAACAAGCGGAAGGAAGAACTGTGCAAGCGAGAAGGGATCGACGAGAGTCGCAAAGACGAATTCCGACACCTGGACGATAAGAGTCCTCTTTTCCGGTACGGCTATCACTTTGATACTAGTGACAGCCCAATCGTTCTGACTCGGCTATTATAGCTATGTTCTCTAATGCACATGCAAATATCTGTACTTCTATAGTAATCTTGCGAGCGGTCGTTGTGACCTTACTCCTGTACCGGCCTGTGGACTTCTTAGTCGCCCAGTGTAATCTCACAATGCAATCGATATCCTTGATCTTACTTGCTGAAGGTGTGGCAAGCGTCCGCGTCAAGTCCGGCAATTCGACCCTGCACGCTAGACTGGTCGCTGCGTGTTCGACATCTGCCTGATACAGATTCATAGTCAAGGAGGCAGTGAACGTTCGTTCTCCTGCCGCGCAAGGCGCAAGCACTACTGCGATGAAGCAAATGACATTCAATACATAAAGGAGGTTCCCTGGAAAGTGCTACTAGTACATTAATGTGGACAACTAATGGGAATAATACAGGTTGCAGTACATGCTACGAGGTATCGAGAAACAAACGCGTTCAAAGAGAGCTCTTGTGCCACTTCGCGTCAACACCGTCTTGCGCCGCCAGGTACGGCATGAGATCACTCGTTAAGAACTCGCTCGGCCAGGGCTTCCTGACCTGCGCCTTCAGATACTCGGACGTCAAGCTGAGCTGGTCGTCCTTGATGCCGGGCACGAGCTTCTTGACCTCGGGGCCGAGCTCTGAGACGAGCTTGTCGATGTACTCCGGCGTAATGGGCTCGCCGGTCTCGAGACGGACGCCGTAGTGCACCCACTGCCAAAGCTGCACCCGGGTGATTTCAGCCGTGGCGGCGTCCTCCATAAGGAAGTTCAGGGGCACGCAGCCGTTGCCCGCAATCCATGCAGTGCTATAGGCGAGGGAAGTGGCGATGTTGGAACGGACGCCCTCCACAGTAACCTTGCCCTGGATCTGCGAGTTGAGGAGATCCTTGGCGGACACAGACCACTCTTCACGCAAGACATGGTACTTTAAATGGGTCCCGCATCAGCAACTATACCAATAGAATCGGTATAAATACAACATACCTGGTTGGGTCCGAGCATGTGCTGGTCGAAGACGTCACGGGCAATCTGGTTGATGAGAGGATGGGCAATCCAAGTACCGTCATGGCCGTAGGTGACCTCGCGCAACTTGTCCTGTCGGACCTTCTCCATCGCGACCTCATTGGCCTGAACGTCGTTCTTGATCGGAATCTGCGCAGCCATTCCACCCATAGCCGCCACTTTACGCCTAATTCAAAGAGAACCATGTCAATCCAGAGTTTCATAATCAGCAGAGCAGTACGCACTTATGGCAAGTCTTGATCAGCAGGCGAACGTAAGCATCCATGAACGGTGACGTCATCGTAACATCCTTCCGGTCTGGCAGGATCGCTGTCCTGTCGGCGCGACGCCTCTTGATGAAGCTGAAGATGTAGTCCCATCTGTGACAACGATAAGCCTTGTCTTCGGAGAACGCAACACCATCAACTTACCGTCCGCAGTTCAAGCCAGACGAGTGGTTCCTCAGCTCGAACAAGATCTCCTCCATCTGGAAGGCAGCGGGGAGAGTCTCGATCAAGACAGTTGCTCTGATCGTGTTGTGCGGCATGCCGATATAAGACTGCGAGAACAGGAAGATGTCGTTCCATAGACGCGCTTCCTTGTAGTGCTCCATTTTCGGGAGGTAGAAATATGGACCAGAACCACGGGCAACGAGCTCCTTGGCGTTGTGGTAGAAGTAGAGGGCGAAGTCGAAGATGGAGCCGGAGACGGGGGTGTTGTCGATGGTGACACGAGGTTCGTCCAAATGCCATCCTCGAGGCCTGATTACCGCATGAGACAGGGGCCGGGAGGGGATTCTCAGATACTCACCTCACGATCAGCACCGCAGGCTTGTCGGACAACTTGTACTTCTTGCCTCCGGTCTCGAAGTCAATCTGACGACGGATGGCGTCACGAAGGTTGACCTGGCCGGTGATCATGTTCGCGAAGGTGGGTGAAGTCGCATCTGTGTTACGTTAGCCCGTCGATCCTACTGGCACCGAACCGCGAGCTCACCTTCGAAATCCGCCATGAACGTCTTGGCACCACTGTTCAACGCATTAATCACCATCTTCCGCTCCGTAGGCCCCGTAATCTCCACCCGTCTGTCCTCCAGTCCTGGCGCGGGCGGTGCGCAGATCCAGCTCGGGTCAGCGCGAATGTGCGCGGTCTCGGGAGGGAAGTCGAGTGGAACACCAGAGTCCAGCCGCCGTTGCGCATCCTCACGCGCAGCCAGAAGAGCCTGCCTCGTAGGCTCGAACGTCCTGTGCAGTCTCGCGAGGAACTCAAGTGCGCCCTCCGTCAGGATTTGTTCCTGCGCCTCAGGGGCGACCTTGGAGTGAATCTGTACGCCTGCGACCATGGCTGCGCTGTAGAGTGTGTGTGCGAGATATGTTGTGAAAGTAAGGACCGAATCGACTGGAAGACATACATACTTTTAATACTGTACGGCTCTCCGTGGGGTCCGAACCCGAATTCCGACCCGACGTCATTTCCGGCTATCACATGCCGCCGGTGCTCCGCTGGGAAGTCGCGTCGCGTGAGCGCCGAGCGCGTCCCAGCTTCGGGGCGGAATAAAGACCTGCACTCCGCTACAAGTGAGTGTTTAATCGTTGCACCGGAATGCCGTCGAGCGTTTAGCCAGAAACGCCGCCTTTAGCCAGCTTTAGCCCCGCTATCGGCAATGATGCGGAGGCCACGTACCAATAATCATGCTCCTGGAGCAGACTCTTGCGCTACTGTATTCGGCGTCCAGTCCGTGAGTATCAGCAACCTCGGAAATAGTCCCCTGTGTCTCCGGGATGGATAGGCTAGACACCCCTTAGTCTCCGCGACTCTCCAGTGATGAACTGCTGCAATAGAACGGCAAAAATCTTATCAGATCCCCGCTGACGTCCGTGGCACCTGCGACCCCGCACTCTCTCAGTGATGAACCGAAGCCTAAGACTCCAGCTCTGCGGGGATCCTTCGGTAACTGTGGGCGCACGTGGGCGACAGGAATAACTTGAGCTCTGCCGGGCGGAACCAATTGGCAGACCGTTCGGCAAGACCTCGGGCTTCCGCTGGGAGGGTTCATTGATGGCGCGCAAGGCGCGGAACCGGCTTCAAAGTCGCTGGCCCTAGACTGCGAAGGTGCGGTGGACGTACCTTATCAACGGAACGCGCTCCGTCTACGCCTAGATCCACAGGCCACAGAAGATGGAGGGCCAAGGAAGCCCGCCCTATCGCGCAAGGAACAAGGCGCGGTCCCGCCCATTCGTCCTGCGTGCGGTGCGGACCACCGTGCGATCATATCAGCCGCTTTCCTCATACCAGCCACACGCTTTTCGTAGGGAATCCCTCCGTTTGTCATGGACAGGGCGGGACGGAAATAGCATTCGAAGGTACAGCACGTAAAAAATCATGATTGCTTTTTAGACCTATCATCGTCCGCGTCCACGTCCACGGCAACCGGCTCGACCGGTGTCGGGGATGCTGTCAGGAGGTCAGCGTTCACGACATGTGTATCAATAAATGTATGCGCACTGGCGAGCTCTTTCACCACACGTTCCCCCACTTTTATAACTCGTCTACACGCCATCTGCCACACGCCGACGCTTACAGAGCCTACCAGTCATGTTAGGTCGACGCATACATAGAGTCATGGCATAGTTAACTACCTGCAGGAGCGAATGGGAGCGCCAACCACCATGTAAGGGGACCGAGCCATCCTTCGGGGAGGTAGAACACAGCCGACTTCCTGTACCACCACGTCACTACGAATTGCAGTCCGGTCGTAAGGGCCCATATCAAGCCATTGAATTGTACGGCAAAGGATGTCTTCGACGTCGCGAGCTCGCCGTCTAATGAATAGCGTCAATGATCCGACAGAGACAGTACCATGGCCTCTGTCCCTCCAGCACAGCAGACACGTAGGGGAAGTGAGACGTACTGAGCTTCTCAAGGTCTGCAAGACCCTTGTCCACGCTCCTCCTCAACTTCGCCCACTTCGCAAACTGATCCTGCGCGCTCGTTTGCAGCAGCTCCGCCTTCTTCGCTAACAAATCAGCCTTGAGCTGTCTCTGCTGCGCGACAGCGGACGCGCGGAATATCCTCAGGTAGAGCGCATAAGCCTAGGAATAGCGTTTGCCGCGTCAGTCAGAGAATCAGAAAGGCAGAAGGCGTCACGGACAAGCTCCAGCAGCACTGTCTGGCCAATCCAGGAGATTAGCTGTGTCAGAAAGACCAGCACGAATATCGTGATTATAAGCGACATGTAGGTAGGAGGTAAGCAGTTTACATTGATTGCTTGCCACGTCGGTGTCTGTAAGGGACGCGTCGTGCAATCCGCGACGCACGCGCGTGTCCATAATACTCCATATGCATGAGCTCACAAGAGGGATCAGATATACTGACCCAGAAAAGCTGCAAGACACTGCCCAACATGCAGGCCCAAGCACCAGGCGCATAAAGGTTATCGACAATATACGGTGTGATGAAGGAGTGGCACAACATCAGGATGTATTGCAAGGATTTACACCGTTTTGCAGCAAAAAAAACACTCGGAAAGGTACACACTCAATGGGACGGAGGCAGATGCAACTTCCACAGTTTCGGCGGGCGGCTTGAATGTGCAAAGCAAACTCACCTTATAGACGGAGACGGCGAAACAACCGGAGATGCAAATGCTCACAATTCACAGGGTGTGTCCGTCCAAAGGGTTCCCCCAATGTAGCACTCACATTTAAGCGTCCGATATGAAAATATCTCGCACACCAGGACCGACATGATACAATCGGGAATGCCAGAGCATGCTGATGGTGGAAGTGCATAGGCCGATAGCAGTGATACATGCGATACGATGCGGACGTGAAGCGGAGAATCTACCCTCCAGAGCGATCCCATCCTAGGGATCATCGCGACAACAACTCCATACAAAGAACGAGAGCCGACAGTTGCTTAGATGTTGAGCTTCGTGCGTCTCCAGTGCCGGCGCTTAGCGTTGTACTGCAGAAACAACACAAGTTCGTCAGTCACATCCAAATACAATATCTCGCGCTGCTTGTACGCACCTGGATCTTGGTATCCGTCTTCAAGCGGAACCACTGGGGAATGGGCCTGAAATTCCCCTCAGTCAGCCTATCCCCTCTCTCACTGGATTCCATGGCTAGACATACCGGTTCTGGCGGGCGGCCTTGGCGAGGGTGCGCTTCGTTCTGAAGGTCTTTTGAGACGGCTACATGGAACAGCACGGCATCAACACTCTGTTCGCAGTAAGAACGCGTATTGTAACGCACCATTTTCGTCGTGCAGGGGCTCCTCGTACGGTGTCGGTGACGGTTGGAAAAGTAAGGTTGACCAAATCAGGGAGCGCTGTACAGTTGCTGACAAAGCGGGCCCGGGGTCACACGGTCAGTGGTGGCGGTGTTTCGTATACAGTAATCGCGATTGTGGCTGGGAACTGTGGCTGATGATGATTGATTTCGAACTTGAAGAGTTTTGAAGCTTGGATCTCCAGCAGTTACGATTAGGATACACTCTTGATGCTGGCCCGCGGAACGTACTGATAGGAAGATAACAACGAGCACAAACTTTGTGGATACCAAAGTCCTATGATTTATATCTTTCGCATGTATCAAAAGGAATGGTGTGGCAACTGCCAGGCAACTTCAGGATAAGGACGTCTGAACGTCCTGCCAATGCCACCGCCTACCACGTATATTCGAGCATCTGACGGCGTCTGCAAAGTTCTCATTAATCTGTGCTCCAGCATTTGACTCATATGAGACGTACCGGCGTTCTGCTCGTTACAACTCGTCTTTGGGTGTCGTCGACTCAGTAGCCGGTGCAGAATGATCTGACCTGGCTAGACAAGTATCGATGACCAGTGTGATATTCCCGCCGGCTGGGTCAACAGCGGCCTTGCTCTCGGGTAAAGAGTCGGAAAACATGGCCAGCGAACCCCAGTAACTTCCATCCACGATATACTGCCACTGCTCGTTCCCTTCCGCCGGAGGTGCTTCTATTGATGCTGCAACAATGGCAAGGCGCTTCGACTCGATAGCTTGCATGTACTGGCGAGCGACTTTCTGGAGCTTTTCTCGTTCATGTATGAAGTGCCGGGCATGGGCGCTCCACGACGCGAAGGTGTAGAGCAGGGTACATGGTGCAAGCTGGATCGCCTTCTGTAAACCGTCGGATCCGTGCTCGGAGAGACAAGTAATGAGTCCGTCCGACGTCGTACTGAGGTGAGCAAGGTGGTCGTGAGGAAGGCCGACGGCGCCGAGTACACTGCACGCCAGCCACGAACAAAGCCCCAACGTGAAGATGCGCTGCATATGGAACATGGAACTGAACGGTGAATCGTCCTCTCGCAGTCAGTGAAGTGAATGTTCCTCTGGGTGCTCCAGTCACGATGGACACGAAGTCGTACACGTTACTCAAGGCAGTGTCAAACCGAACGTAAAATATGGGAGTCGGCGCAGTCTCGGGATAACATCATTCAATAGAGGTGAAGGCCGTCCTTCAGTTTGACTAGTGCTTCTGAAGGTTCTGACTCTCCGAGTCTCAGGTACTGATCGAACCGTACGCGGTGTTACGATACACGATGTACTGCCTTGTCATCCTTCAAGGAGCTCTCTCTGAGTGGGACTTCACTCAGCTCTACCACGCATAGGTCAAGCGACTGCAAGTTAGGTTGTGCGATGACAGTAAGCCATACTAGGTATTGGTACGTCTGCTCGGCTCGCCTGCGCCCGCAATCACAGTACTGTATTCCGCATATCCAGTCTAGGGCCTTTCCACGACCTCGGGTAGGGCATGGAATGCATTCTGAGGTGACAGTCCTTCTCCCCGACACCTCGTGCACATGCCGGCAACATCCTCGCAATTGACTCGACTGGCTCTCAAGGTTGCAGATGCCTATGACGTGAGAAGAGTAGGTCTAGCCAGCGTCTAGCAGCACTAGCACTGCAGCCGCGGACTCAGCAATGCCGGTCAACTTTGTGATATTACCTTCGGTCATATCGTCGCGCCGACCTTTGCATGAGGATTGAATGGACTTCCATTCATCACTGCGCGGAGCTAACACCACAATGTACTAGCAACATAGGTTAGTGAACAGTTTGTGGCAGTGGGACTCACCCCGTGCCAGGACGCGGCGACCATTCCAGATGCGCACAGGCATACAAGTCCTGGTATCTCTGTTGAAGCTTATTTCTTGTGCTACGTCGTGCTCATCGGTACTCGATCATCACCGACGATCCATTGCTGGTGTAGTTATGCGCTATTTGGCAGCCTTCCTCCGCCAGGTGTATAAGTAGCATGTCCAAAGATATGGTCTCTTCAGTGCAGAGGGAAAAACACTGGTGTGTACCATCGTGGTCCCTCATCTTCATCCTCAGACGCTGATATTCCTATTCTTACTTCCAGATCTACGCGATAACTGGCTCTTGTGCGACTTGACAATATGACTACCTATGCTAAAGACGGCGTCATCGACTATCCTATTGCTGACGGAATGTCCCTTGCGGGTGTATGGAACTACGTCGCCAATGCGAACGGCCCCAGCATCACTGCTAAGCAGGGATATTTCTCGATAAGTCGGGGCGCAGTAGGCGCAAACAACCAGTGGACCAACTTCAGTATTGGTCATTCGGTGTCCATCGCAGGCGGCTGCGCCATCCAATTTGAGGTCAAGTACGACCAGATCTCCGTAAGTCCCTTCCTTATCTCATCCTCGATCGATGCTGATACCCTATTTGAAACAGCCAGCGACTGAGGTGAAGCTCACCTTGGCCAGCGGTGTCATCCTTCGTTACGATGGGTCCAACTTTAATTACTGCTGGTGGAATCAAAATGGCTTCCACCAAATTGGACGCTCTACAATCCGCATAGCCGATGGAGCCTATCACCAGGTCACTCTCTGTCTCTGGCCCGCTGGCATTGCTATCTTCGAAGATGGTAATTTCATTGGCAAGTGGGACACGAGTGTTTCCGCAAGCGTTGCTCCACACTTCGACTGGCAGATCCTATCCAGCGGCTCGAGCCTGAGTGCTCAGCTCCGCAGCATCCTTGTCATTCCTTCGACGTTCGCCCCCGGAGTAGGGACCCCTTGGGACGTTGCATTCTCCGACTCTTTCATCCCTCCCGCCGATATATGGCAGATTTCGAAGCAAAAGGGTGATCCGATTCCTATCTCCTTCTCCGCCGATGGTTTCATGCGCGCGGAGACGCGAAGCCTCAATAAATGGAACTCGTGGGTCTTTCCTCAGGTTACTGTTCCGATGACGGCGTTCGGCCTCGTCATGTATCGCTTCCGCGTCAATACATCTAACGGGAGTGAGACGAAGATAACGCTCATGGGCGATAACATCCTGCGCATCACGAGCAATGGCAGTCACCTCGAGTGGGACAAATATACGGATCATTTCATCAAGCTCTCTGACAGCTCTATCAGAGTGGGAGGGGGTTGGACGGTAGTGACGCTGGTCTACTCGCAGACCTCGATCTCGCTTTTCGAGGATGGCGTGTATAAATACACGCGGACGTACAGTGATTCAGGCAAGCCTTGGGAGGCGCATTTCTGGGTGCAGCATCTCGACACTAGCACTGCGGTCTCCGTCGACCTCAGTAACGTCAGATGTGTCCCGCTCAAGAAGACCGCCGAGATGCTTATTCGGGACTTGCAACCTACGTTGCTTGCGTACTATCCTCTCAAGACAGACGTCAATGAGGCCATTTGCACGATTCCGGCTCTGGACCTCGCCCCGTATGGTGGCTACAAACCCAAGTTCGTCCAGGGGAAATTTGGTAATGCAGCGGATTTCTCCGGCCAAGGTGGCGCACTGAAGATCCCCCTCTACCCGTACGGGCGTTCCTTCCCGTCGTACACATTGTCGTTCTGGGTCAAGGTCGACTCGTTCCCTGCCCAGAAAGCCGGGCTTGTGGGGCCTCTCAGCGTTCGTTCTGACGGCAAACTCGAGTTCACCTTCGTGTACTCTGAAATCTTGTCCTACAAAGACGCAGTATTCACCTCCCGTGCGTCCATCCCTCGTAACCAATGGGTATCCATCGTCGTCACATATGCTTATGAAGAATCGCGATTTGCCATCTTCCTCGATGGCGTCCTTGATTCCATCGTCTACACTACCAAAGACAATTCTAGCCAGGCCGCCGTCTTGCCAATGTATGGCTACGTCGGTGCATTGGCAGTCGGTGACCGTTTGAACGTCCTTGACGGACAAATCGGCGATGTCTTTTTCTTCCGACAGCACGTCCATAACGTCATCGCCTTAGCGCTTGCCAACAAGTCGGTGACCAGTCAAGAGGAGCATGCAAGAGAGAAGAGGGCCCTTTTTATCCCACTCCTTTTGCCGGCATTCTTGGTCCTGGCGTACGGTGCTATAAGTACCGCCGTTCTCGCAACGACCCTCAAGGAGACGCAGCCCGGTACCCTCGATCTTGAGGAGGTTGTGAGTCGGATAGTACAGCAGGTGGGCAGCCCCGCAAGGCCGGGCGCTCAAGTGAAACGATCAGACATTGGTATCAGCGACGATTATCCCATCACACTCGATATCGGAGGCGAGGGCCCACTTGAAGTCAGCGGGCTGGTCACCGGCTTCCCCGGGGCCATAAATATCAATGAAATGGATACCGTCTCGGTGGGCGCAGGGGGCAAGATCCCGTACTTGGTCAAGGTGGCTCGTTGGGCCACGAATCCCGGGTATCCCTTCGCAGACAACTTTGCTGACCAGATCGTCATGATGGGTTGCCCCCTGACTCCAAAGAACGCGGACGAGATGGTGAGAGTGATCAAGCCGACCGGGACTATCGATGTATGGATCAGCGACGACTTCGAGAGCACTTTGAACGATATGGCCAGGCGTCTCAAGAGCTACGTGCGGACGCCCAAGGAGCTCGCCAGGTTTAGCCACAATGGTCACACCTGGTTTACTCGCCGGCAGATCGTGGCGAACAAGAACGGCCACGATGACTTGTAATTTGACCCAGATTGCAGGTGCGTATGATGTGTACTAGCTATTCGAATGTACGATATTGCCGTTGGGGTGACGAAGGTGGGCGATCAAGGTTTCAAATTCCAGAGTTGTATGTACAAGTAGTCCGTAATATCAATCGAGCTTGTGTAGAGCGTGTCCGACGGCTCTCACCCCATTTCATACAAGCGTCTCAATCATCAGTAACATGGTCCTCCCAGTCTACATGCTTCCTTGTACGTTGCCCGACCCACGTCGTCGGAATTGTGGCTTATGGCAGTTTGTGGCTTGTGGCACAGCCACACACGATCGTGTCACTACCTCACAGCTGGCATCGAGTCTGTTAGTATCACCCTCATACTCATCCTGCCAGCATGCGTCTTTTGAGCTTGTTCTCATTCTTTGTCTTCGGTCTCGTAGCATGGGCGGCTGAACCTCCCAAAGAGCTCAAGATTGAGACGACATATATGCCTGAGAGCTGCCCTGTCAAGGCAAGGAAGGGAGACAAGATCAAAGTGCACTACGTGAGTCCGAAAGATACGTGTTAAATGGGAAGGAATTAACTGAAGCGTATTTGCGCAGACTGGGACGCTGTTTTCTAATGGAAACAAGTTTGACTCAAGGTAAAGTCTGTCGTGCAGGTGAGAGAGAAGTCATTCTGAACTATGCATGAAGCTATGATCGTGGCCAACCTCTGCCCTTGACGCGTACGTCGCTCAGTTTGTCAGAACTTAGCTCGTGCTAACATTCGTGTAAACAGTTGGCGTTGGCCAGGTTATCAAGGGCTGGGACGAAGGCCTGGTCGGAATGTGCGAGGGTGAGAAGAGGACCCTCACGATCCCTTCGGACATGGCATACGGTGCGCAGAGATATGGTATATGGGACGAGGACTGACTTACATTCCACTACTGCAGGTTCTCGTGGATTTGGCAGCGTTATTCCAGCCAATTCCGCTCTCGTTTTCGAGACCGAGATGGTTTCAATAGACTCTGTTGCCAAGGACGAGTTGTGATTCACCACCTTGTACTCATAATCACGCTTGACTCATACTACATGATGCTCTGCGGAATGTATCATGCCGTGACAAGTGCAATTGAGATACAATACCATGTGAAGTCCGCTCAGGGCACCCCTGACTTCGTCTTGGAGCTTGAACTCTTCAGTCGATCCTCCACAAGCTGGGAGAACTCCTCCCTCAGAATCGCCTCCCTCCTCTCCCTCTCCTCCTTCTGCAGCTTCAATATCCCCCTCTTCTCCTCCGCGCTGATGACCTGGTTCTCCTTCCTCATCCGCACCGCGTTCATGCGCTTATGCCTGCTCCCGCTCATCACGTACCCCACGCTCTCGAACTGCGCAATCTCGTCCGACGTCAACCCGATCTCACCACGCCGCGGGATGCGCACGTCCGTGCCGTCCTGCAAGAACGCAGCCATGGCGCTGCCCTCGCCGCGCAGCAGCGCGCCACCGTACTGCCGCTCGTCGACCTTGCGCGACCCACCGGGTCGTGGAGGCGGCTGGGGCCCGACTTCGACGTCGGAATCGTCGGAGTTATGTTGAGCGGCGGCCTTGCTGTTGGCTCCGCCCGAAGACTGTGCCTGTGCGCCGGTCCCTCCTCCATTGTTAGTCCCTGCCGCCGCGACGACGGGAGCAGCGGGCGGTGCCTCCACCCATTCGTCTTCCTCATCAGGTGTGAGTGGAGTCGTCGCCCGCTCAAGACTCCGAGCGCGGCTCTTGCTCTTGGACTTTGACTTAGTCCGGCTCCGATGCCTGTGCTCCTTCTCTTTACTCTTGCTCCTCCGCCTACTCCTCATATCCCCGTCGCTGTCTTCGTCGTCACTATATTTCCTGCTCCTTGACCGATGCTTCCTCCGCTCTCTGCTCTTTTCACGATCCCGTTCTTTGTCCTTCTTGGAGCGCTTGCGCTCCTTCTTATCGCGCCTCCGACGATCTTCGTCGTCTGAGGAGTCTTCATCTGGGTCGCTGTCGTAATGTCGACGCTTCTTGGACTTTTTGTGCGACTTGGAGTCGCGGGGTGGTGACCTGTGACAACAATGAGGCGGCGAGAGCTAGATATAGCAAAGACAACATACAGTTCTCTCGCGGGAGCTTTGGGGGATGGCGGCCATATATCTACAGTAGCACTCTCCCGCTGCTGTCGCCGACTGTGAACATTGTGAGTGATGCGTCCCATGCACTTGCAAGACCCGCACGTACCTCTCAAGGAAGTCAGAGCCACCGCCGCCGTACCCCCGCCCATTATCCCGACGACCTCCCCTGGGAGGATACATGGTCTCCTGCTGTCTGGCGGGCGCATCATCTGCAGGCCGCTTGTAATCGCCATACTCCGGACTCCTCCGCCCACCTTCTCTATCCCTCTCCCTACTCCTGGTTCTCCCTGGCGATCGTCGATCCCTATCTCTGCCGTACCTGTCTTCCCTGTCCCTGTCATCATCGCGTGTGTCTCTGTCTCTCCTCCCGTAGTCCCTGTCGCTTTCTCTCTCCCTGTCTCTCGCTTCATACCTGTCGCCCCGGTCCCTGCTGCGACTGCGACTTCGTGTCTTGGGAGAAGGCGAACGGCCGCGGCGTTGCTGGTAGGAGTAGCTGTCCCTGGAGTCCTGGGGAACGAGTCCCATACGCGACGGGTGGACCGTCGCCATCGTGTGCGCAGGAGTCGAGAGTACAAGTGGTTCAGTAGCGCTGAGCTGGGCGAGTCGAGCATAGGGAGCCGATCATGGGAACGTCTGACCTAAGCACATAGCACGTGATGCTCCAATAATACCTTGCGCGTCGCAGCCTCAGGTCAGTTGCCACAACCCCCTTGGGCACTGTCAAGACTGAGTTCGGGATCGTATTCAACTAAAATGCCTGAAATATACATGCATGGGATTGTGCAGCGCCTTGCATTGCATACATTACAATCGAGGAAGCGAGGAAGTTTCCCGTAAATTCCCTGGTAGCCAGGTTACAGCTCCCTGGTAGGGACCATCGAAGAGGGGAACCGATCATGTAGTTATCATTTGTATGCTACAAGATTCTCAACTAGTCTTCAGCAAACACGCTGCAAGCACAGTAACGTACACACTACAATACAGATTGTCATGAGATGGGCGTAAGTGAGATGCAACTAGGGTATGAGGTTGAAATGAGGAGACATACTACATGGAAAATAACCGGGACATAAAATCCAAGATCAATAAGTTACTGGAACCTCGAACCGCGCAGACGGATATGTCCAACTTGGTACAGACCGACCTCAACCCACTCGCTCCTTTTTCAAGAGATCTTCCTTCAATAGCCTCCGTCTCCGATCGAATCTCTTCAGATACTCCGTCGCCCTGGCCCCAAAAAGTTCCAGCCCGTCCAAAAACCCCTTCGGGAGCTGATCCTTCCTCTGCTCCCATGGCTTCACGTCCACAAGCGCGCACCTGTCCAAACAAACTAGAACCATCCCGAAGCTGTACGCATCGGCCAGCCGTGCGTCCTGGCACTCGCCTCTGAGGATCTCCGGCGCTGCGAACGGCCGTGTCCCGGGGTGTATCTGCTCCACCTTTCGCGTGAGCTTAGGGAGGACGTACGAATGGTTGTTAGAGGGCGTGCGTGCTAGAAACGCAAATGGGTCGAGGGGCTCGTCGGGCGAGACGTACTCCGACTCGCAGGAGACCGAGCGTCCAAAATCCAATAGTTTGATGGTGTCTGAGGAGTACGTCACTTCAATGTTGAGTAGTGAAAGATCGCCGTGGCTGAGCCCGAACGAGTGCAGGTGACATAGCCCGTCCAGCAGCTGGTCGTGGTAGTCGATCTTCTTCTCCGCTGTGAGCTCCGGCTGCGCGCGCACCACATCGTACAGCGTGCGCCCGTCGATGTACTCGAGCACCATGCCGACGTTTTCAAGGCACCCAAGGAAGGCGGCAATGTTCCTGTGGCGCGTGACGGTCGTGTACACCCTAAGCTCCGCGAGGAACTGCGTGGTGACGTCGGACGCGTTAGACTGCATCTCGCCGTTGATCTCGAGCTGGACGACGTCGGGCTTCTTGACGACGCATTTGAACAGCTCTGAGGCAGAACCGTTGGCGAAGGGCATGAGACCGACCAGTGGGTTCGACGGGGCGCTGTAGGATGATGGCGTGGGGAAGTTGAAGATTGCAGTGGGATGCCGGGGAGGATTAAAGACTTGCACGGCCTGTGGATCTGGGTGCTCATCAGCGTATGCTTGCTGGTGCGTCGAGTAGTGGCTGTCCTGCCGGTGCCCATGGTGCAGATGATGGAGGTGATCGTGCGCGACCGCCGTTTCTTCAGAGGACGAGAAGGAGTTAGACGAGCCACTTGGGTTCTGCTCTTCATCATCCAACTCCACTGCGCAGGGTATTCAGTGATGCAAGTGCCAGTTTTCAGACCGTAGATGAGACTCACCCATCCACCAGTTCTTTTTCGAAGTAAGCGTCACGCGTTTGATATGCTTTGTCGACGCCATGGGGCGATAATAAGCTCCTCGACGTGGTAGACGCCTTAGTCGACCGTCAACTCGCGACAAGACACGCCGACAACGTGCAGTCGGTGGAAGAAGTAGAAGAGCCCGAAGGCCAACCTGCGCATGTACAAACCCCGCACTGAAGGCCATGCCAAAATTGGTTAGGGTTTGTTTGATGCAATCTAGATCACCCTTCGACGAACGTGCAGATAGAAATTTCGGATGAAGGCAACAGCTAGCAGACACATCTGTGGCATAGGGAGACTAGTATACGTAGTATGACTACAAAACAATACGAGAACGACGGAGATATTCAAGCACCAATAATTTCCATGGATCGGCGTCAAGACTACAACCTACGACAAATACAAGTAAGTGGCATCCATCGACAAGAAGTAGCTTACAGTTGGCCACAAAACCTGCAATCTGACCTCAATCACAATTCATCGTGGCCATTCTTGTTCGCAACGATCTGCCTACGAGTGAACCAAGTGCGTCCATTGTGGCTGAACCGGTCGAGCTCCTTGGGCGTACGCACGAAGCTCTTGAGACGCTTGGCCATGTCCTTCAGGGTATCCTCAAAGTCATCACTGATCCAGACATCGATGGTCCCGGTCGGCTTGATGACTCTGACCATCTCATCCGCGTTCTTTGGAGTCAACGGGGAGCCCATCATGACGATCTGGTCGGCGAAGTTGTCCGCGAAAGGACACCCCGGGTTTGTGGACCAGCTAGCGACCTTTACCAGGTACGGAATATTGGCGTCGGGTCCGGTCACACCTTATCCATCGCGTTCACATTTATGGCCCCTTCGAAGCCGGTGATGAGCCCTTCGACTTCGAGCGGGCCCTCACCTCCGATGTCGAGCGTGATGGGATAGTCGTCACTGACCCCTATGTCAGAACGTTTGACCTGAGCGCCGGGCCGCGCAGGACTGCCGACCTGCTGAACAATGCGGCTCACGATCTCCTCGAGTTCGGGAGTATCGGAGTCCAACTCTTGGAGAATCGCCGCAAGAATCGCCGTACTTACAGCCCCGTATGCCAGAATCAAGAATGCTGGAAGAAGTAACGGGATGAAAACGGCTCTCCGTGCCCTCGCATGTTCTTCCTCGCTCGTGACGGGCTTGTTAGCAAGTGCCAACGCAAGGACATTGTGGACATGCTGTCGGAAGAATAAGACGTCGCCAATCTGCCCATCCAGAACATTCAAGCTTCCGTCCGAGGCCGAACATGCACCAATGTAGCCGAACATGGGCAACACTGCCGCTCGGCCGGAGTTATCGGAAGTGGTGTAGACAATGGAGTCGAGAGCCCCGTCGAGGAAGATGGAGAACCGTGACTCTTCGTATGCGTAGGACACTACGATAGACACCCACTAGCCGAGAGAGATGGACTTGGAGGACGTGAAGACGGTCTTCTTATACGAGGCAACGTTGGAATAGATGAACGTAAAGTCAAGTCGACCATCGCTGCGCACACAGAGCGGAAAAACCAGTCCCGCCTTCGATCTTGGGAAGGTAGCAACCTTGACCCAGAACGACAATGTATAGAAAGGGAAAGAACGCCCGTATGGGTAGATGGGGAGCTTCAGGGCGCCATTCAGACCTGAAAAGTCCGCAGCATTGCCAAACTCCCCTTCCACGAATTTGGGCTTGTAGCCGGCGAATGGAGCAAGGCTGAGAGCGGGAACTGTACAAATTGCCTGGGCGATGCCAGTCTTGAGAGGGTAATACGCTAGCAGCGACGGCTGCAAGTCCCGAATAAGCATCTCTGCTGTCTTCTTGAGAGGGACGCATCTGACATTACTGAGGTCGGCGGAGACCGCAGTATTCGTGTCAAGGTGCTGGACCCAGAAATGCGCTTCCCAGGGCTTGCCCGAGTTGGTATAAGCCCGTGTGACCTTGTACACGCCATTCTCAAACAGCGACATATAGCTGCTCGAGTAGACCAGGGTCACTACGTTCCAGCCCCCGCCCACGGTGATGGAGCTGTCGGCGATCTTGATGAACTGATTGTCGTACTTATCCCACTCGATGTGACTGCCGTCATTTGTGATGCGCAAGATATTACCACCCATGAGCGTGATTTTCGTCTCGCTCCCCGAGGACGAATTGACGCGGAAGCGATACATGACAAGGCCAACATCGGCCATCGGCACGGCTACCTGTGAATAAACCCACGAATTGTAGCCGTCCATGTTTTGCGTCGCGAAGCACATGTATCCATCAAAGGAAATGAGACGGGAATGGGATCCCCCTTCTGCCTCGATATCTGCCATATATCGGGCGGGGGGATGAAAGAGTCGGAGAACGCGACGTCCCAGGGGGTGCCTACGCCGACGGCGAATTTGGAAGGGATGACCAGGATATTGCGTAGCTGCGCACTGAGGGCCGAGGAGCCGGACAAGGTCTGCCAGTCGAAGGTGGGATTGACATTCTCCGGGACTGTCGTGTACCACGTTCCAATGGGAACATCGTCCTCGAATGTCGTAATGCCACCAGGCCAAAGGCACATTATGACCTTGTGGTAAATCCCGTCACCTATACTGATGTTCGAGCTTCCTATGTGGTGGAACCCATCTTCGTTCCACCAGACGTAATTGAACGAAATGCCGTCGTAACGAAGGGTAACATGGTTGGTCAGGGTGAACTTCACCTCCGTGGCCGGCTGTTCGAAGATGAAACTTCAGCTACCTTCCGGGGATAACGAGGAGCATACTGACGGAGATCGTATCCGTACTTGACCTCGAACTGGATGGCGCAACCGCCCGCAACAGATACCACATGTTCAAGATGAAGGCTAGTCCAAGTATCGTATCCGCCCGATGAGTCACGCGATATTTGAAGATAGCCTTGCTCGGCGACGATACTGGGACCGTTCTGACTAGGGACATAATTCCAGATACCCGAAAGAGTCATGTCCTCGGCGACGGGATAGTCGATGACGCCGTCCTCAGCCAGAGTAGTACTCGACATGTTATACGTTGCTCGAGATTCTTGTCGATATGTAGGTCTGGATATGTGCCATTAGTATCTCGAGATGCATGAAAGAAGGACGGTGCATACCAGAGTTGTTTGCTCCTCACTGACATGGCATGTCCCTCGTCGTGCTACTTATACACCCAGCGGGGAATGACGCACCAGGAGCGCAAAGCCATACTACGGATGAGGTTGGCAGTCGACATAGACCGATTACTAGAACGTCGCATAAACGACCGAACTCAATAGAACTGAGGCCACCTGAGGCTGGCGTGACCAGCCGCTCGCGCACAGGCGGAACCCCATGTCCACAGGCAATGACGAGGAAATGTCAGTCTGAACATGTCGTGGATGGAGCACTGTCCAGTGTAAAGTTATGCATGGAAGCATACCCATGTCTCCTGCAAGGTAGGGGCAGCGTTGTACCACAACCGATGCTAACGTACGGTGCGAATCGAAAAGGTAACGCCCGCAAGCTCATGAAGCGCGGACAGTGCACAACGCATTCTCTGTCCGGACCATGGAGAGTTTCAGAGGCTATGACTGAGGAATAAGCCTTAGGCTTCCTTACAACAATTATTAGGCGACCGCATGAGAACTTACTGACAGTCTGCAGCCCTTCGAAATCCTGACTGAGATCAACGACATTGACAGGACTCTTCAAACCCGTGCGGAATCGCGGCCCCCCCAACATACGACGGCCTACCTAGAGGGTTCCACTTCACCCAGGCAAGTCATGCATTTCTTCGCTTTCCGAGCGGTCGACTTGGGGTTAAAGTGGTGCATCAACACCGAATGGAGTGATTCCAAGTCGCTTGCAACTATTTCGTGCCTGCGGATATTGCGCGTCGTTTTGAAGACTACTGGAAAGTAGACCCCAGTCCGTACCAATGAATTCGACATCCGGTCTAGTACG